CGGCCTGCAGGCGCCTGTGCGGTGGCAACACCAGCGCAGCCGTGTCTGGCGCTGGTCGTGTTGCCTACCCCACGGCCTGCAGGCGCCTGTGCGGTAGGCAACACCTCCTGGCGCCTCCACTCACGGATATTCTCATGGTTAGGTTGTTGTCCTCGGGGAAGTAGTGGCCGTCGGAGGGCACGGGGAACTCGTAGGGGTTGGCCACCACCACCTGGAACACACGTCAACGAGGAGATGATCCGCGCGAGCAGAGCGCACGCACTCAACACCACACGCCCTCCTCCTCCTCCTCGACGGCCTCACCACGATCCCCTTGGAGTGCGGGTCGGGCGACAGCACCTCGCCGGGCGCCGCCTTGACCGTGCTGAAGTAGAGCGCCTGGCTGTCGTCGGGCTCGCCCATGCGCGGCCTGCAGCGCGCCGCCTTGGACGACATGGACGTGCACGAGTTGAACGAGTAGCAGAAGCCGGCGTTGGTCTCCTGCAGCTCGAAAAGGTCGCAGCAGTCGGAGAAGTTGCTCTTCCACGAGCAGCCGAGGAAGAAGCGCTGGCAGGGCGGGAACGCCTGCGAGTGGAGGGTGGGTTGTTTACCGGTGGGTCGACATTTTGCGCTGCCCGGCGCCCGGCGCTCAGAGGCCCGGAGGAGGTCTGCCGCAGCCTCCCGATGCTGACTACGGCCATTCACTCCCCCCCCCCCCCACTATCCGCCTCTCTCTTCCTCCCGCTCGCACACAAACACGCAACAGGTGCACGAGCGCGCGCGGGCGAGAGAGACGGAGAGAGTGAGAGAGAAAGACTCTTCTTCTCACCGTGAGTAGCACGTTGCGAGGGTCCTGCGTGCCGAGGAAGGCGAGGCCCTCGACGACCTTCGCGTCGTCCCAGCGGGACGAGTAGAGCGGGAAGCGGAACTCCTGCAGCGCCCTCAGCAGCCGGACGTGGTTCCGGTCCAGCTCCTCCTGGTCCGCCTCGGCTTCCGCCGTGTCGTTATTGTCCGTCGGGAACCGGCTTCGGCGGGCCGCTTCATGACTGAAACGGTCGCGGACGTCAAAAGAATATGACTGGTGGTGGTGTGGTAGGTCTCTGCAGGAGCATCTCACTCTAAATTAAAGGGTACACCCATTTTTCTGCGTTTTTAATATTTTTTCCTGATTTTTTTCATCGATTTTCCTGATTTTTCTTTTGGAGGGTGTACACTGAGAGTGAAGTGCCCCTGCGGGGTCTCTGTTCTCGTTGAACCTACTACAGTCGCAGGGTGGCCAGCGCCATGCTCTTCTCGACGTTGGCGACGGGGCAGACGGTGATGGACGGGAAGGGGTAGTCGCGCACGTCGACGCGCGTGTCGGCCACGACCGTGAGGGTGATCTCCCTGTCGCTGGTGGTCAGGAGGTGCGTCATGGTCAGCAGCCCCAGCACGCACAGCAGGAAGAGGAACCCCCACAGCACGCTGGGGGTGAGAGGGTGAGGGTGGTTAACAGTCAGAGGAGCAAGAGGATGGGGTGGGGGGGAGTGTCTTCCTTACCGCACGTGCGTCGGCAGGTCCCTCCTGCCGATGTACTTGAGCCCGTGCACGTAGGCGTTCTCCAGGTACTTGTTGAACTGGCGCCGGGCGAGGTCGCCGTAGTCCGGCCGCCCCCCGCGCCGGGCCGCGCCCCCCGCGGCCACCACGGCAGGCCGCACGCGCCTCCAGCGCGCGGCTGCAGAGAGAGAGAGCCGGGCGGAGCCGGGTGAGTCGACAACAAGTTCGGTTGTTATTCCCTCCCCCCCCCCTCTCTCTCTCCTCTCCCGCGCGAGTGCACGTGAAGAGAGAGAGAGGGAGAGGCGACACGGACGGAGGTGAGCGCGAGCGAGAGGCCAGCGCGGCCGCGGGCACGGGGGATAGCGACCTCCACCACGTTTCTGAGCTCCGGGCGTCCAGCCACGCGAAAGACGGCGAACTCGTAAACAACCCATCCGTCTGATCGATCTGGACCGCGTCACTCTCCTCCTCCTCCCGTCCCGTCCCGCTCGCTCTCGCACTCACCGCCAGCCCCGGCCGCTGCCGCGTTGGCGTACATCGCCCGCCCCGTCTCGACCTCCCACCGGAGCCTACGCGCCCTCCGCGCGCGCCCGACTTACTGCGCGGCCACCGCGACCGACACGACAGACAGTTTTGTAATCGCGCTTCGACCGGGCGAAACTTTCAGCCGGGGTGCAAATAATTGTAGTCAGCTTGTGCAGGCCGTGTGTGCCCCCTCTTCTAGCCACCTTCAAACGAGGCGTTGGAAACAAATGTGACAGTAAGGACCATTTAGCAGATACTACAGTCATTGTGGACAACCTCGCTAGAAAACAACTATTGAGATACTTTGCGAAAGTTAGGAAGTACTAGAAGAACACCGCCTGCTTCCCGCTAAGCCTCTTCGCTTTCTTCAGAAGGGTCCTTGTTACGGGATGCATTCCGACTAATAAAGGCACTGACCTCCCCCTCCCCCCTCCCGCCCCCAACGAATGTTTGGATGCGGGCTATCCAGGTGCGGAATGGAGGGGGGGGGGGTGTTGACTCGCACGCACCGCCCCCGTCTCTAGTGACCCGCCTGAGAGGTAGGCAATTTGTGCAACAGACCCCCTGTCAGTAGGCAACCTACAGTGCACCCTGTCAGCCGAACCTTGAGCACGGCGCCTGCAGCAGATTAGAAGTTAGTCTGCTCCTGACTCGTCCTGACTCGTGGTTTTTCGGGGTAAAATTGTTGAATAATAATATCCGCTTCAATTATTAATTACAAAGGTATTTTGATCCGCTCGCCCCGGGTAGCCCATAGCAGCTGGCTAGTCCCGGACAACATCGTTAGCGACCCCACCCCCTCGCAGTCGGAAAGTCTCGACTGTAATGTGGGGCGGTGATTTATCTTGTTCTCGGGGTAGTTGACGCCCGACATTGACCCCGGTTCGGGCCGGCGTCGATGCACGTTTGATCACAACAGACCTGTCACGGGCAAATTTGATGTCTGGGCGGGTGCAAGGCAAGGGCCTCATTTACAAGGGCTAAACTGTAACAGGTTGTACCCCCCGGGACACCAGCCCTTGTTAGGGTACACGTACCCCGCTAGTGTCGAGCCCCGGTGGTACTCCCTGTACTCCCTACCCAAGGCTGGAGTGCCTCCCCCCCCCTCCCTCCCTCGAGGGTAAGGAGTACACCACTCATCACGGGAGGAAGGGGAGGGGGTCACATTTGCCCCAGGGATAGTGTATTCCCCAGTTCACTGTAACCCCCCCCCCCCTCTATTCGCGGGGAGTTTGATTTGTGATTCGGCACATTTTACCCTGATCGTGACGACATTAGAATTTTTGAGGGTTGGTGGGTGCTTTGGATGAACATGTTTAGAGTGAGTGACTCGTGCGGCTATGACAACGAGCGTACTTTCGCTGTTTTTTTTTTTTTTTTTTTTTTTTTTTTTTTTTTTTGGAATGGCGGAACCCCCGTTGAAAGTTTTGATTTGGTTGAGATGGGGAGGTGGGGGTGGGAAAAGGGGCGTGGCGTGTATTGGGGAATGGCTCCGAGCTTTATAGTGTGTTTCTGCTAACAGGAAGAAGTAGAAGAGCGGGTAGAACACAAAGGGCCCTGATTGGGCAACCCTATACCCCCTCGATCGAAGTGACGGAGAGGCGAGAATCTCTCGGCCATCCGAGGACAATCGGAAACGTTTATGTTCTACCCGCTCTTCTTCTTCCTCCGTTAATCCAAATACATTATGTATCAGAGGCGTGAGAAAGAAATCGAAGTCACTAGTATACGTCACTTCTGTTTCGACGCATTTCACCCATATACTCTGAGTTGGTAAGGTTACTGCAGCTTTTAATTTGTAGGGCAACAACGAAACAATTTTCATTGTAAATTTTCTTTGTCAAGTTTCATTGACGAGTCTCGTAGTTTTCCCGCCGACGCCCACTACCCCCTCTTCTGACAACCGCCGCACAACTGCCGCTAGAGAGAGCCTGCTGCGAACCCCCACCCCACCTTCCTTCCCCCGCCACCACCGCCCAGCCGCCCAGCTGCGGGCTGCGCTGCGCGCTACGGAGCGGAGCGTCAGATTGGGAACAGCTGAGCTGAGCTTCGCGTCGGTCCAGCTCCCGGCCCAGCTGGTCGCCCTCTCAACCTCGTGCTTCGCGATTCGTCGGTCGTGCATCTCGCCATGCTGCCTGTCCGTCTTCAGGCTGGACCAAACGCGCCGCGCTCCCCGTCCCCAACCCGTCGGGCTCTGGTCCTCGCCCCGCCGCCGTGCCGCCGCGCGCTCACCCGGCTGTCGTCGCCGAGCTGGAGTTCGAGCCCGTCACCCGCGCCAGCGATCCGCGTCCTCCGTGCACCCGCGTCATCCGCGTGCCATCCGCATCGTCCGCGTCATCCGCGAGGGCTTGTTCGTTGTCACTGCCCCTCCCCCCCTCC